AATAGCAGAGTTTAACCTGGTATATGACCTTCCTCTAGCAATTCTGGACTGGTAAGAGAAAAATGCCTCAAGTGAGCATGCATTCAACTCCAGTAAATAAGCTGTGCATGTGACCCCTCCCAAGTGCTAACAGGCCAGTGCACTTGTGGACAGCCCAACCTGAGGGAAGAATCAAGGGAGAAGGGACACAAGACGCTGGAAGTGTGCCTATGTATAAAACCCCAAGTCAAAGGTCTAACATTACACTTGATCTCTCAGGTTGCCTACTTGGCCCTCTTACAAATATACTTTATTTCCTTTCATTCTTGCTCTAAGTCTTTTTAATAAACTTTCACTCCTGCTATAGAACTTGCCTTGGTCTTTGCTTCTTCTTTCTGCTCCTCAGTCAAATTATTTTTTCTGAAAAGGCAAGAATTGAGGCTGCTGCAGACTCATATGGATTAGCTGCTGATAGCATACTCTGATGCCCCATGATTCGGATACATTCCACTGCTAACAAACTTACCACATTTTCTTTATACAGTCTGTAATTTAAGTTGATTCTATGTCTTTTCAATTGTGAATAGTGCTGCAATGAACATACAAATGCATGTATCTTTAACAGTTTATATTTGGGGGCATATTTACCCAGTAATGAGATTGCTAAGTTAAATGGTATTTCTGACTTTAGGTCACTGAGGAATCACCTCATTGTCTTTTACAGCCATTGAACTAATTTACACCGTTACCAACATTGCATAAGCATTCCTTTTCCTCCACAATCTTGCCAGCATCTGTTATTTTTTTTTACATTTTTATAATAGGTATTTTAAGTGATGTGAGATGGTATCTCACTGTGGTTTTGATTTGCATTTGTCGATCAGTATTGTGGAGCTTTTTTGCATATAATTGTTGGCTGCAATATGTCTTCTTTTGAGAAGTGTCTGTTCATGTCCTTTTCCCACTTTTTAATGGGGTTGATTTTTTTCTTGTAAACTTGGTTAAGTTCTTTATAGATGCTGGATATAAGACATTTGTTAAACACATAGATTGCAAAAATTCTCTCCCATTCTGTAGGTTGTATGTTTACTCTGTTAGTTTGTTTTGCTGTGTCAATGCTATTTAGTTAAATTACATCTCCTTTGTCAGTTTTTGCTCTTGTTGCAATTGCTTTCTGTATCTTTGTCTTGAAACCTTTGACTGTGCCTATGTCCTGAATGGTATTACCTAGGCTGTCTTCTAGGGTTTTTTATAGTTTTGGGTTTCACATTGAAGTATTTAATCCATCTTGAGTTAATTTTTATATATGGTATAAGGAAAGGGTCTAGTTTCAGTATTCTTCATATGGACGCCAGTTCTCCCAGCACCATTTATTAAAGGGAAAATCCTTCCCCCATTGCTTGTGTTTATCAGGTTTGTTGAAGATCAAATAGTGGTAAGTGTGCAGTCTTATTTTGGGGTTCTCTATTTTGTTCCATTGATATATGGGTCTGTTTTTGTACCAGTACCATGCTGTTTTAGTTGCCATAGCCCCATTGTATAGTTTGAAGTCAGGTAGCATGATGCCTCTAGCTTTGATCTTTTTGCTTAGGATTGCCTTGGTTATTCTGACTCTTTTTTGTTTCCATACGAATTTAAAAATAGTTTTTTTAGTTCTGTGAAGAATCTCAATGGTAGTTTATTAGGAATAATATTGAATCTTTACATTGCTGTGGGCATTATAGCCATTTTAACAATACTGATTCTTACTATCCATGAGCATGGAATGTTTTTCCATTTGTTTGTGTCATCTCTGATTTCTTTGAGCATTGGTTCATCATTATCCTTGTAGAGCTCTTTCACCTCCCTGGTTAGCTGTATTCCTGTATTTTATTCTTTGGGTGGCAATTGTGAATGACAGTTGATTTCTGACTTGGCTCTCAGCTTGACATTTGTTGATGTACAGGAATGCTAGCAATTTTGCACATTAATTTTGTATCCTGAAAATTTGCTGAAGTTGTTTATAACTTTAAGGGTATTTTGGAATGAGACTATGGGGTTATCTAAATACAAGATCATGTCATCTGCAAACAGGGATAGTTTGACTTCCTCTCTTCCGATTTGTATGCCTTTATTTCTTTCTCTTTCCTGATTGCCTTGGCCATGACTTCCAATACTATGATGTTTAGGAGTGGTGACAGAGGGCATTCTTGTCTTGTGCCAGTTTTCAAGGGGAATGCTTCCAGCTTTTGTCCATTCAGTATGATGTTGGCTGTGAGTTTGTCATACATGGCTCTCATTATTTTTAGATATGTTCTTTCAATATCTAATTTATTAAGAGTTTTTAACATGAATGGATATTGAATGTAATTGAAATCCTTTTCTTCATCTATGGAGATAATCATATATGTTTTGTCTTTAGTTCTGTTTATGTGATGAATCATATTTGATTTGTGTATGTTGAACCAACCTTGCATCCCAGGAATAAAGCTTACGTGAATGTTATGGATAAGCTTTTTTGATATGCTGCTGTATTTGGTTTACCAGTGTTTTGTTTCCATCTCTGCCAGTTTTTGCTGTCAGGATATTGCTGGCCTCATAGAATGGGTTAGGGAGGAGTCCCTCCTCCTCAAATTTTTGGAATAGTTTCAGTAGGAATGGTACCAATAATTCTTTGTACTTCTGATAAAATTCAGCTGTGAATTCATCTAGTCCTGGGCCATTTTTGGTTGGTAGGCTCTTTATTCTGCTTCATTTTCAGAGTTTATTATTGGTGTGTTCAGGGATTTATTTTCCTCCTGGTTTAGTCTTGGGAGGTTGTATGTATCCAGGAATTTATCCAGTTTTGTAAATTTTCTAATCTATATGCATAGAGATGTTAATAATATTCTCCGATGATTGTTTATATTTTTGTAGGGTCAGTGTTAATATCCCCCTTGTTGTTTCTGAATGTGTTTATTTGAAACTTCTGTCTTTCTTTCTGTATTAGTCTAGCCAGCAGTCTATTCATTTTATTAATTAAAAAAAAAAAAAACAGCTCCTGGATTTATTGATCTTTGGAATGGGTTTTTTGTCTCATTCTCCTTCAGTTCAACTCTGACATTAGTTACTTTCTGTCTTTTGCTAGGTTTGAGATTTGTTTGTTCTTGCTTCTCTAGTTTTATTAGTTGTAGTATTAGGTTATTACCTTGACATCTTTCTAACTTTTTGATGTGGGCATTTAGTGCTATAAAATTTTTTCTTAATACTGCCTTAACTGTGTCTCAAATATTTGGGTATGTTGTATCTTTGTTCTAATTGGTTTAAAAAAAAACTTCTTTATTTATGCCTTAATTTTATTATTTACCTAAATGTCATTTAGGACTGTTTATTCAATTTCCATTCAATTGTAATTTTGGGTGTAATTCTTCATCTTAATTGATAATTTGATTGTGCTGTGGTCTGAAAGACTGTTATGATTTCAGTTCTTTTGTATTTGCTGAGGATCGTTTTACTCCAAATTATGTGATTGATTTTAGAGTATGTGAGTAGCAATGAGATATTTTGTTGTTTTGGGGTAGGGAGTCCTTTTAATATCTATCAGGTCTTTTTGACCCAATGATGTGTTCAGGTCCTGAATATCTTTAATATTTTGCCTCAAGGATATGTCTAATATTGTCATTGAGGAGTTAAAGTCTCCCACTATTATTGTGTGGGAGTCTAACTCTCTTTGAACGTCTCTAAGAACTTGCTTTCTGGATATGAATGCTTCTGTGTTGGGTGCATATATATTTAGGATAGTTAAATCTTCTTGTTAAATTGAACTCTTTGCCATTATGTAATGGCCTTCTTTGTCTTTTCTGAGATTTGTTGGTTTAAAGTCTGTTTTGTCAGAAACTAGGATTGCAACCCTGATGTTTTCTGTTTTCAATTTTCCGGGTAGATTTTTCTCTATCCCTTTATTTTGAGCCTGTGTGTGACATTGCATGTGAGATGGGTTTTTTGAAGACAGCATACCAAAGGGTTTTAGTTCTTTTTCCGGCTTGCCAGTCTGTGTCTTTTAATTGTGGCATTTAACCCATTTATATTTAAGGTTAGTATTGTTGCGTGGAGATCTGATCTAGTCATCATAATGTTAGCTGGTTATTTTGCAGACTTACCTGTTTACTTTACAGTTGTCACTGGTCTGTGTTCTTCAATGTATTTTTGTAGCGGCTATCAATGGTGTTGGTGTTTCCTTTTCATATTTAGTGCTTCCTTCAGGAGCTCTTGTAAGGTGGGGGTCTTTGGTAACAGATTTCCTCGGCACTTGTTTGCCTGAAAAGGATCCTATTTCTCCTCAGCTTATGAAATTTAGTTTGTCTGGATATGAAATTCTGGGTTGAAATTTCTTTTCTTTAAGAATGTTGAATATTGACCCTGATCTCTTCTCGCTTGTAGAGTGTCACCTGCGAGAGAGGTCCACTGTTAGTTTGATGAGCTGCCTTTAACATTTTTTTTTTTTTTTTGCTTTCATTTTGACCTTGGGGAATCTGTCTTAGGGATGATCTTCTTGTGATGTATTCTACAGGGGTTCTCTGCGTTTCCTGAATTTGAATGTTGGTCTTTCCAGCTAGGTTGGGGAAATTCTCTTGGGTGATATCCTGAGATATGTTTTCTGAGTTGGTTGCATTCTCCCTTTTTCAGGTGCAGCAGTCTGTTGTAAATTCAGTCTCTTTACATAATGCCATGTTTTTAAGAGGTTTTTTTCATTCATTTTCATTTGTTTTTCTCTATTCTTATCTGCCTGTATTAGTTTAGAAAGCCATTCTTCAATCTCTGACTTTTTTTCCTCTGCTTGGGCTATTCTTCTATTAATACTTGAAATTGCATTATGAAATTCTTGTGTTTTTCAGCTCTGTCAGTTCAGTTACATTCTTTGCTATACAGGGTATTTTGTCTGTCAGCTCATTCACTTCTTATCTTGATTTTTAGCTTCCTTGCATTGGATTACATTGCATTTCTGTAGTTCAGTGAACTTTGTACCTATCCATTCTGAATTCTAATTTTGTCATTTCAGCTATAAAAATATGGAATGTTTCATGAATTTTCATGTCATCCTTGTATAGGTGCCATGCTAATCTTTTCTGTCATACCAGTTTTATAATATATCCTGCCAAAGTAAAGACTGTCCTTCAGTTTTTAAGAGTCTTTATAAATTAAGAATATTAACCTTTTTTTCTGTGGTATAGCCTGTGAATGTTATCTCCTAGTATGTCAGCCATATTCTGCCTTCGTTTATGATTAATTTTGTGATGCATTTTTTCAAGGAATTAGGTTTATAGTTATTTCTTTCATTTCATTTGGATTTTGAGACGGAGTTCTATACCATTTTTAAAGAGTAATGTACCCAAATTTCTTCTAGTATTTGTACAGTTTTCTTTTTACTTTTAGATCTCTAAGTTATTCAAAGTTTACTTTTTTGTATGATATTAGATATGGGCCAAATTATATTTTATATGGCTACAGGTATTTCAGCATCATTTATTTAAAAATTCATCTTTGCCCCAGTGGTTTAAGATGCCATTTTATCATATACTAAATTTCTCTTTGTGCTGGGGTTAATTTCTGGACTTCCTCTTGTATTTCCATGGCATGTTTGTCTGTATATCACTACTTTAATTTTACAGGTAGTATATCACATGTTTAAGTATGAGACAAGAGCTACTTTCCTATCGTAAATATACTTTTCAAACTTTTCTGCCTATTCTTGTGGTTTATTTTTTCATATGAACTTTAGTGTCACAATTTGATTCACTCCCTAGAATAGTGCATTGGCATTTGTATTCTTATTGCCTTCACTTTTTATGTATTAATATATGGAGAATTGTGATCTTTTAAGTACTGTGTTGTTGTTTTGTTTAATTCTATTTTTGTGCTCTTCAGTGTTGTAACATTTTTCTACATAAGATTTATATATTTCTTATTAATTTTTGTCTAGTCAATCTTTGTTATTGCTACTATAAAGTCATTTTTTTTTACAAATATGCCATCTATTTATTATTTTCGAGTAAAGAAAGATTGATTTTTGAGAATCAGTTTTATACTCTGCCACTTGACTGAATTATTTTAAAATTCGACTTGGTTTTAACATTGATTGTTGCTATCATTGTTTTATGGTGTCTTTCCTATCATGTCAAAATAGAGACTAGTTGACTTTTTCTTTACCCTTTTTTGGCACTCTAATTAATTCGTCCTGCCTATTTGCATAGGATAATAGTATCAATAATAATAGTTGACATAGTGGGCATCTTTTTCTTGTCCCTGATCTTAGTAATAATACCTGTAGTGCTTATTAAAGAGAATACTGGAGGTACTAAGTAAGATAAAGTAATCAATTTTACCCCATCCCTCCCATTGGAAGAACCCATAAAACCTGGACAGAATTTAAAAAGAAGCTATTTGATAACTATATGCAAACAAACAAGCAAACAAATATCCAAACCCTAAATCTAAACCCTGTACCTTGTATACAGATTTACCCAAAATGTATCACAAGTCTAAATGTAAACATAGAAAAAATATCTGTGGCCTAGGGTTAATCAAAGTGTTATTCATGACACCAAAATTATGATCCATAAGCACCTCTTCTCAGTCATTATTGCAAAATATAGGGGGTTTTGCTTGTTTGCTTTGCTGTTTGGGGAAGGATTGTGAGTCCTCTGGTTCTCTCTTGTCCTGCAGAATCCAAATGGGGCCTTCTTTTTCTTCTTTTCCCCTTCATCACCCTATTGCCAAAAGGTGCTTCTGCTTTCTTTTTTACCTCTGTTTCTCCCCCAGAAGCTATGTCTTTTTGAATTTCCCTTTAAGTCCATTCTATCCCTTTATAGGACACGGGCCATTGTAAGTTATAATTGCCCCTTTAAATACTGCCTCCCCTTTAAATCATGTATGTATATTTTAAACTCCTTCCCTTCTAGTTAATGTCACAGTCTGTTCAGATGACATTTATGCTGTATTTTAGATTTAGAATGGATTGAATATTTTTAGTGTCCATTACAAATCATTTTTAGGTTCCTTTGGCTAATCTCTCTGTTAATATCTTTCCCACTGTTTTTCTCATTCCATCTTTGCTTGCCACAAAGCCTGTGTCTGTGCAAGAGCAGTGTGGTAGCCTGAGAGATCTGCACTGGGACTTGGTGGTATATTTTTCTCTTTTTACTTACATGTATTTACAATTTTAGCATTGTATTCAAATTATGTTTTAGGTATGTATTTGCATAAATTTAACTTTCGCTTTTGATTTTTAAAGAATAAAGTGATAACTTTGCATTTTTCTTTTGATTTGGAAAGGAAAATTTTGAATGTGTTATGGCAACCATTGTCCTTAGCTATCCAGAAATATTGCTAAATTCAATTTTCTTGTGTTTTTTAAGTATTTGCATTTACACTCCTAGCAGATATTATCCTCAAATTTCATTTTCTAGTAACGTTTTCATTAGATTATGATGTCAAATTCTTCCTGATTTTATAAAATGTCTCCATTACAAAGTTAGGGCAAGGTAGGCACAACAGCATCTTGAAAACTTTGTTATTTCAGAAATTAAGAAAATTCTGCTAATATAATAATAACAATAAAAGACATGGGCATATTACAAAGACATAGGAGGCATTTTATAAGTAACACTTAACAGGCAAATCTAGGACAACTTGAACAACAAAGTGGAAATCCAAGAGTGTATAATAATCATAAATAAATAAGCAGGTAAATGAATGGGGGAGAAGTGCTTCTTAAAGTACAATGCGCATTGCCAGTTTGTAAATGTGAAGCAATTGCAGAAGATTGAAAAATATAATTTTGTAATAATTATAGTTAAGATTGGTTCAGGCAAGAGTAGTGATGAATGGTTACTATACCTAGAAGTATATTTTTAATAGATAGAAGATATTTAGATGGTTTCAACGGTGCCTTTCTACAGATTCCTTATTAGTTGCAATGAAAAACATAGTAATACTAAGAGGACAAGTAACACAACAACTTGATGGAGTGAAAAAATTAACATCAGCAGCGAGGGGCAGATTGACATAATATGCCTTTCAATGTGGTACCCTTTGAAGGACACAGCATTATTTAGGTAATTTTTAAAACCTCAAATGAAACACCTGAATCTAATCATGACAAACAGCAGACAAATCCAAAGTGAGGGTAGATCCATTTATAAAACAAAAAGCAGATAATTCCAGGTCTGGAGCTGCATATTTATAATATGGTTCTAAAACATCTCGCCATAAAAAAGAGCAAGAAAGCTACACAAGACCACTTGGCTCTTTTGAAGTTTTCAGGAGTCAACATATCTCAGTCTAGCAAAGATGGAACAATTGCAACATCATTAAGTAAAATAATTGTAATGGGTTGAAACAGATCAAATATGATTAAATCTGTGAGCACTTAATTCAAAAGTAATTGCCTATCGTTGGTGAACACTAATAAGGCAATATGTTATTTTTCAACTAGGAAATTTAAAAAAAAAATCAAGAATTATTTTATTTTTCTATAAAGACTAGCATTGTAAAACCCAAAAGTTAATTGAAAATACTTCTTCCTACAGGTGTATTCTACTAATAAATCAAGAAAGAATGTAAGCATTTGCGTATTTTACATGTTTGGCAAAATTAATGGATACAGAAATTGGAAATCAAAGGCTGATAATAAAAAACATGAGATTATCAGGTATTTGTGTGCTTGTGTGTGGAAGAAAACATACCCATCACCTGTAAAGTAGTTTTGCCAAACATTTTAATCTGCTTATCATGCTTATAAATCTGACAGATAAATGTTTAAGAATGCACCCATGGTACGCACCACCAAAATCAGATAGTGGGGAACTCTATGGGACACATAACCTGTTTTTTTTTTTTTCAACAAATAAACAAAGAGGGGAGAACACAGGATGAAAGCAGACCCTATATATCTAGAGAGACTTAAGAGCCATATCAAACAATAGCAGTGTGTGGATTATACTTGGGTTCTGTTCAATGTGTACAGAATATTCCTTTAAGTTTGATTTTGTTACATTTAAAAGAAAATTGAGCCAGGCATGGTGAAGTGTGCCTCATCCCAGCTACTGGGAAGGCTGAGGATGGAGCTTCACTTGAGTCCAGGAGTTCTAGGCCAGCCTGGGCAACACAGTAAGACTCCATCTTTTGTAAAACAGGGTACTATTTATGAAAAATGTATGAACATTGAGGATATTAAGCTAAGTGAAATAAGCCAGCCACAGAAGTACAAATATTACATGATTTTTATGTGAGGTATGTAAAATAATCAAAGTCATAGAAACAATACAATAGTAGTTGCCTGCAGTTGGCCAGAGTGGAAATTGAGGGTGGCTATTCAACTGGTATAATGTTTCAGTTATGCAAAATGATTATGTTTTGGAGATCTGCTATACAACACTGTGCCTACAGCTGAAAATGTGTTCTACACATAATGCATTTGTAAAGAAGGTTAAAAAATGTTGCCTGTAGAAACTTCAATCCTGTGTGTGTGTGTGTGTGTGTGTGTGTGTATCTGTGTGTGTACATATATACTTAACAGAAATATATAAATGTGTTTACATCAACACTATTTATAATTTCCAAACACTGTGTGCACCTGTCATGTTCATTTACAGTAGACTGAGTTGAGACTAGAGTCAAGTAAGTGAAGCACTTGTTTCAGGAGAATGAATTAAGTGACTATTAAAATAACTAATAATCAAGATACATAGTATTTAATACAACATTTTAAAATCAAAATTAATGCCAAAAAAAGTAGGATCCATTCACTGTTTCCTTTAGCCTCAGATTCCAATATGGCCCCACATGAATCTTATAACAGAATTTACAAATTAATTGGGATACAAAATGGAATGCTATACAGCAATAAGAATGAACTATAACTACCCATACACAGTAATATGGAGAATCTCATATACAAAGTATTCAGTAACAAACCAAATATAAAAGTGTATATACTGTTGATTTCATTGACATCAAATTCAAAAACAGGTGAAGCTAATCTAGACAGAAGTCAGAATAATGGTTTCCCTTGAAAGGGGGCAGGAGAAAAATTTCTGACTCTAGGAATATTGTGTTTCTTGATCTATATGTTACATCAGTTTTATACTTTAGGAGAATTCACAAAACT